GTTTCCATCCTACAAAAACGATTTTATTTTTTAAAAAAAAACCTTGGACTATTTGTAGTTCGTTTCTTACTATCCAATCATAAACAAAAAGAACAGAACATGAATAAAAATACATCCAAGACGGGAAAATGGAATTAAGTTTTTTATCCGACATCGATCTTTTGACGTCGTCCCTTAGATAATGTACGTTTGAGTCTATGTTTCTGTCTGTGTGTACTTTTTTCATTTATTTATGTCTTGGACGCACTCGAGCATCAGTATTTGATAGTTTTTGGATATGTTACTCTGTAAATGTCACACTAATAACGTTTAGAAATATATACAGGTATATATAACCAAAACTGTCTAACTGTTAACTGTCGTCAGTCACATACACATTAAATAAATAAATCAGTTAATAAATCAGTCCATCCACCCATGACAGTTCTTTACCAAGCTGAGCCACCTATGGCATTGTTACTTTGTGGGCGTAGCTCCACTATGACTTACAGCATGAATATATTTAACTAGAGACCTTTTTATTTGAATTTTCCGGTTGTTTATGGTCAGAAAATTTGTTATACTAGTATTCAGGAATATAACCCCATATCCTAATAACACCAGTTCTACAATATGACAAAAATATACACGGTGAACGAAAGGACGGCACATGGTACTTAAATTTGAAATTTTAATTAATCTAAAATTTATAAGATCCAAAATGCAAACTTGTTTAATTCAAATGAAAAAACGGAATGCATCGGTATCATAAAAAACACGAAATAACAACATGGTTAAATTGGTTTCTGACTGAAAAGAATCTTGTTAGCAGTTAATCGGTTTGTAACCAAACCCGAGTGTTATTTTGATAACTACTACGAGCGACGATTACTGGGTTACCGTGACAGCAGCAGTGTGCTGCACAATAGACAAAATGCAGTTGATCCTTCACCTCGATTTCTTGTGAACATTATAGCCTGGTGAATATTAATGTACAGGAAGCCATCTTAGAAAGCAGACTGTCGATTGAGCATTTTGCCCAACCCGGAAGTAATTGCCTGAAAGGAAGTCGGAGTACATCGAGTACTGTCTGACAGAGCATGTCTGGGTGCGGGATAATATTAACTCTTATAGTCTCCATTGCCGTTACATCGAAAGCAGAGATTCACAGTGAAGAGTCGCTTATTCGAAACGAAACTAGCCACGACGACAACAACGGGACACAGCACGACTGGGTGAAAGAATTCCGTGATCTGGGATGGGACATGGCTGACAAAGCTCGCTTTCACGCTGTTTCACATCACGACGCAGCAGACTGGTACGGCTCCCGTGATACATGTTTGACGTACGCATCGATTTTCCTTGGTGCATGCAGTGCTGTCGGTGCCGGAAATTCGATCTTCAAGCTTGGCAACAATCGAGTCTCAAATGTATTCACAGCTGTGACAGCTTTCGTACAATCTATGATCACGGCTCTGAATAGTTGTCAGTACTCACCGAAAAAACTGAGAGACGATCACCACAAAGCGGCCGTGGAGCTACAATACTTTCGTGCAAAATTGAAGGTTTGGTACCTAGTTGATATCTACAGACCAGGCATGGCAGTGGAAATGGCAAAGGAAGACTATTACAAATTTGTTGATGAGGCAAAAAGAATAGCAAGTGAGTACATCGAGAGCGAGAAGTGGAACTTTCCGCTCGTCAACGAAGAAATTCTGCAGTCCGATAACAGAAAAGATAAAGCCAAAGATAAAGAATTATAATTTGCGAACGATAATTTGGGCAACGTTGGAATTTATCCAAATCGGTACTGGTTATGTTGAAGTTTGTGTCGAGAGTAAGGAGTCGAAGAAGAAACAATGAAGGGATCTGGCAGGTTAATATTGCAACTTAGTCTAATTTTAAAAACAAACAACTAGATATGCTATTAAATGACACTTTGAGTGATGATAGAAACATTGTGTGAATTATTTTTTCCTTCTCTTGGAAGCTGGCGTCACCAATCAGCGTTGCTGATGAAGGTCGGGGAGCTCATCACAGATACAAACAATGGCGGTGTGTAGGCTTTGCGCTGATTCAACGGCAGTCAAGAACAGAAGAGGTATATTCGTTGAAATGTTTCCTAAATTTCTTATTATAACGTTGACAATTGTTTGTGGGCAAGTGAATGGAGACGATGGGATGTTTAAAAAATGTTGCAAACCGTGTTTTAGTAAACTGGCAAAACTATTGAAACTGATAACATATCGACCTGCCCGACCCAGTCTTCGTTGCAACACAGTACCTAGGGGGACTGTGGCTGCAACAAACACTTCATTTTCGTCAGCTACAGCACTAAGTGTTTTCTTTTGAAGTTCGTTTGTATACTCCGCCATTTTAATTTTACCAAGTAATGTGTCGTTTATATTGTGAGTTCTGATCAGGTAATGCAAATGAGCCCGATTGAATTTTATAATCGCTTGAGGGCGTGCGACATACAGTAAATCTTGATGAAATCTGCCAAGAGTTAATGTTGAGACTTCGGTCGAATAAATGGTTCTTGACTGTCGAAGATGCTGATTTTATGGGAGCTCAACCCAAATTTAAAGCAAGATCGTGCACTGTTGGATTTGCATATGGAAAAAGAAAATTGGGGGGGGGGGGGGGTAACACTGATCCAACC